ATGGATGGATGGATGGATGGATGGATGGATGGATGGATGGATGGCTCACATATAATGAACTATAACATTACTTGGACAAAACTATTTTTATTTTGTATGTGATTGTGTGCAAATAGACATTGAGATTTAAAAAACTGCACCAACCAAAATTTTGGCCTAACTGTCAGATTGGTAGGGTTGGCCCTGCTTGGGAATAAGATCCTAGAATCACCCCTGGTTGCTGATCTTCCCAGAAGTGGAAAAGAAACTGAAAGCTACAACTTGGCCTCATTTTGCACAATAAAAAGTTAAACTTTATAAAAGCACGAGACGTATGGTTTGTGGGTAAAGGTTGCCAGGAAAGAGTCATTTCTCTCTTAAAAATCATAGCAGGAGAGTTAGGTATGCAAAGTTGTGTCTGAATAAACCATAGATCTCTGGAATAGTGTCCTTTTTAGATGGATGAGACCAAAGTGAAAGTGACGAGATGTTTACCCATAATGCACAACATCATGCTCGAAAACTAAACACAGTCTATCATCACAAACATCTCATTCCAACTGTTGAGCATGGTGGTGGAGGTGTGATGATACGGGCTTGAATCCAAGAGCTGCAAAGTCCAGACCTTAACTCGGTTGAGATGCTGTGTTCTGATCAGATCATTTGATCACATTTCAACATCCTAAACCCCAGAAATGAAAGCAGATGTCCTTTTTCCTCTGTATTCTGTTAGTGTGAAGTTAATCATGGCATGTGTTCGATATAAAAATAAAGTTGTTTTAGTAGATATTTATATTTTATTGGTTTAATATAAAYGTCAGAAATGATTTGAATCATTTGAAACACATCAAACCATTTTTAAGTCTGGCTGAGTAAGCATCTGAAWTACTTGGTTATTTTTGACTAAAATACTGTTCAGGTGCAGTGCTTACATTATCACAATTATATTTATAATCATTGCATTAGTCATGAAGCTGTAGCCTATAAATCACAGAAATACTAATATGTGGATGCTTAGCTAAAAATAAGTTAATTACACACCTGACGTTATAAAATATTTATGTTTGCTGAACAGCTATAGACGTATCACTGCAGCTGTTTGTTTTAATTTAAACACAGTTTATCCAAATACAATCTGTTTCTGCGCCGCGCCGCTGCTTGTCGCGACGCGTTTGTGTTTGTGTGTGTCAGTGTGGCAATAAAAATGCAGGTATGCAGCGTAATGCATCTGCTGTTTCACAATCCCATTCTTAGACGTTTGCTGCTCCTTCTGCAACAGCAAAGTCACGAGTTCCAGTAGGAGTTTGTCCTACAGCTCATACAGTTTGAGCTGTCACTGGGACTGCAGGTAAGCTGCTCACTTTTACTAAACTTCCTTCAGGAACTCAGTGACAGCTTAGAGGAGAACTAAGCTCTAATTACAACTTCGTTAACCACTCTGGAAGCTGGTTTCTCTGAGCTGTCAGTGTTCTTGTAAAGCTACAGCTGTTCTCTTCTCTTTGCTGCTCATTGAATTTTGTGATGCAAAATAACTCTGCTCTGTTTTTGTGAAGCCAGTTTCTGGACTATTTTAATTCACCCTACATGTTTGAGTCACTTTTTTGAAAGTTAAAAGCACTCAGCTGCCTGAAAAGGGGGAAATATCTTGGTTTCGATTCTCTGTTGCCATAGTGGCGAAAGGACTCACCTGTTGCTAACGGTTGTTTTTGTCATAGAAAAATGAAGCGTGGAGTTAAATGTACTGAGAAATTAAACAAACTTTAAATTGAATCATAAAGGCTACATACTATAGCTCTATTAATTAGTGTTTCTCAGTGTTTGAGTAACTTTCAAGGTGTTTGAAATCACCACCAATTAAAATCTGAAAATATACAACCTTGTCAACTTTTCATACTCTTGGTTTGTAAATGTCTCATTTAGTGAGCAGTTTGAATTAGCCTTGAAAAAGTGTTTTTCTTTTCACAAATATCAGGTTGATGAAGGTAATCAAAAATGCTCTCCTTTTAGTTGTCGTTTGCGTTGTGTGGATACTTGTGTGTAAAACAATTTCAAGAATTTAGCCTGACAGGAGAAAATGTGAGGCAGGAAAATGACTTSGCCCACTAAAATCAGTTACTAAAAAAGAGAGATTTGGTTCTAATATTCTTGTTGTATCTATAAACACATCATAATGATTTCAGGAAAATCTGTCATTGTCATCTTTACTAAGGCCTTTAAAGTGAAATCAAACTTCAGGAGTTTATGTTGCTTCTTTTAATAACATTTCATAGTTAGAGTCTGCAGAAGTCAACACGCGTAGTTTGAACTGTTTTGGGATATTGATTATATTCAAAAAGGACAAAGGCAACRAAAAGGTGTAACAAGAGAAAAACTCGCTCATTAAGAAAAAATTGAGTTAGCTGATCTTTTCACCACTTGGCTGATTGATGCTGCCAAACAGTGAGGATCCTTTCAGCAAGCGTTTACAGCCCATGTAACGCTCAAATAAATCATATTTTCCACCCTCATTACCTGAAGTCTGTTAATGGAGATGCTCGGTGTGTTTAAACACAGCAGACAGCACAGCARTGCAGTGAAAATGACGCTTGAAATGAAACGTCTCTGCTTGACATTGAACATTATTGTTCCACCTAAATCAGTCACCTTTTTTCTTATTTTAAGAAAAATCCTTGTGTTTTGATCCTGTGATATGCAGTTGGTGCACATTGAAATGTGGCTGTGAGAAAATAAAAAGGGTACATATTCAGCTGACAGTTTGTTCTRGGAGTTTATACTCATGTGGATGTGTTTATATTGTTTGATTTGAGTTAACTTGGACAAGTTTCCACTTTTTACTGAAAGATCTGTTTACAAACCGTTTCAGACTTTATTAAAACAATAGGTTGCCTTCAGGACCAGGCCTACCTTGAAAAAGAGATCTGAGATCTCAGCGGGACTTGCCTGGTTAAATAACGATAAAAAAATAAAAAATGCTTTTAATAATCAAGTATTAGAAAGTTTGTCTGCTGTGAGCTCTATTACCAAAAACCAGTAATGAGGTGTTGCTTTGAAGTCCAATAAATAATTGAAGCAGAAAAGCTAATGATGCAACGAGTATCAGAAGAAGTTAATTATAACGATTAACACAACAGTTGGCACGGACTCACACTCAGTGAAAGACACACATCTACTATTACTTTTATAAAACGGAGAATCAATAGAAGCTTTCAGCAGCTTCTCTCACACCACCACACGTAGAGTAAGTGGGCCTCTGAAAGGATCCCCTTAAGAAAACTGTGGTCTGAGTACATCTGTGTGGATGAGTTCATGCATACATGCACAGGTTCAGACTCGAAAGCACTCAGCGTGCACCCACACAGTGCAGGAACAGAGGTGTAAAATCTAAGTCTGGAGATTTTATGTCTTCCTGGAAACACAAATCGACTTTTCTACAGGGAAGTAGAAGATTGATTGTTTTTATCCTTTTTTATGTATTTGTTTTCCTTGCTACTTGCTCTACCGTCTGTTCAGTCACTTCTTTTATTTAGTACATTTACRATATAAGTATCTGATTGGTCTATGAGTTTTATGACAAAGCTATCCTTTTTCTGTGTTGTCTTTGCAGACGACGGGTCGTACCAGCGAGAACCACCTCCCCTCCCTCCCTGCTGCTCCTCCTCTAACTCAAATCCTCTTCTGGAGGAGAACAGGAAGAGCCTGGTCCCGGAGGAGTTTGCAGGCCTCCTTCATGGCTCATCCCCGGCTTGTGAACCACCTGAAACGCCTTATCACCTTTACAGCCCCAAGCACTTCAAATATGCCTCTGCAGATGTCCAGAGCAGCCTGCTGCAGGCCTCAGAGTTCAGCCTTGTGATTGGTGGAGGGGCCTCTCAGGGCTTCTCTAGGGTCGGGAGCGAAGTATCTCCTCAGAGGCTGAACTGCAGGTCTCAAAAGCCCCAAGTCGTGTACCGGACTGTGTTCCACACAAAGGTCAACCAAGACCAGGTTCAGATTCAGAACTGTGATCAGGGGGATTCCCCCCGTGTACGGTCGACGCTGAGCCACCCGTCCTCTTCTGAGCAAAACGGTGAAGTTGAAGATTCTGTGGGAAACCTGACCAGAGGTGGGTCTAAAGACGGTTTATCTGGAGCTGGGTACGAGGAGAGGGCTTGTACCCTGGGGAGGATGAGATCAGTGCCACGCAGTGTGCTGGACCTGCAGCTGTCAAAGTCTTTGTCCAAGTCTGACTCGAACCTCGTGGCTGTGTCCCCCATACAGGTGAGACCTCAACAACTCTGCAGCGTTTAATATTCAAAGTTATATAAACATTTTTAGGTCTTTATAGGTACAGATTGAAGTCTCAGTTAAGACTGCACATTTATTAACGTGAAATATTCATTTGTATAAATTATAGTTTGTATCCGAATGCACCGTGTGACTTCAGAGACAGAGTTCAAAGTAGTTCAGCCAATTAGATAACTTGTTAAAGTGGGCCACTGTGTTCCCAGCTGAGTGGACCTTCTGAGATTTGTTTAATTCAACGTAAATAAATTATAAACTGAATGCATAGTCTGTTTGATGCAAATCTAGCCATTATTAATAAAACTGTGATGGGACTTCATAGCCTTGAGGCAATTCTTAGTTTTAAATCTCCTATTTATAAAGCTAAAAGATTTTACTAGTCATTCTTAGTGTGAAAAGTGTTTTCATTAAGTGTGTGTGTTGTATGTAATATGTTTTTTAGGAGGAGCACAGTTGGGGGTCTGGATCTCGGGGTCAGGGCCCAGGAAGTCCCAGCTCACGAGAAGGGGTCAGCCCTGAGAGGAGGCTGGAGCGAACGCCCTCCTTTACTGCTGAGTGGGAAGAGGTGAGATAAAAATGTATTTGCCTAATGAGCACAGCCTACCATCCGATTATCATAATCAATCGAGATATTAAAGAAGGAAAGAAGTTGCCGATTAGTGCCGACGCTGCAGCACTGCTTGTATTTTGGCTATAAAATTGATTAAAATGAATATATGGGCCATTTCTGCAGGAGTGAAAACTGCACACTCAGCATTAAACTGTTTCAGTTTTGCCTCGTTTTGAAAAACACTCAGCTACCACAGTGCAGAAAGAGCAGATTGCCAGTTCAACATGCTCCCACACTGATGATGTTGAAGCTTCAGAAGGTATCAAATCTTTAAAAGAAAGCAGTTTGTTGTTTTAGATGTTAAAGAGCAGCAGGTGAAGCTTTCATGTGTTTAGGACCTTTGTATCAAATGGTTTCTAGCACTGAAGTGAGTCATGGACTGTAAACCTGATAATCGCTCTCATTGCAAACAAAACTCTTCCCCAGGTGAATACACCCTGAAAATTAAAAATTTCAAATCATTTGCACACCACTCCCGTAGAGGAACACTGCACATCACACTTTGTAAAAAGCTATTTTTAAAATTACACTTATGGTTGAAAGGCCCATTTGTGTTTTCACTTTGACACATTTCCATGAACATGTTAATTACCCAACACAACTCCTTACTTCCTGGTGATAAATTACCTCATGGCATTTTTTCCCCTAAGTTCTAACAGTTACGGTAACCTTTCCTGTTTAATTGCTTGTGAGTTGAGAAACACATTAGGTTTCTTCTRGCGTGATTTACGGGAATTTCAGGGGAAGAAAAAACAAAGCTGCTCTATTTGCAGCACACACTCAGGAMAGAGTTGCAGCACTAGAAGGTGACTCACTTCTGAAGACTCTCAGGAAAATAAAATATTTGATAACCTTCTTTTTGATGTGAAATTACAGAAGTTTCTGTTTGGATGGTTATTAATTCAAATTCAAATTCAAAATTCAAAAATACTTTATTGATCCCAGAGGGAAATTAGGTAAAATTACAATTGTTTATTCTGAAGTCACTACTAACTCAGAAACTTTGAGGAAAAAAGTTATTTTTTGAGGCTCCTGGGTTTGAAAGGATGTCCTTCAGAGTTTCCCAGCTTGAAGCAGAAGAAATTCACTTTCCTCATCTTTATTTCCTCTCAGCTTTAACTTGCTTCAGAAGTGGGGTAGCTGGYCATCCGGAAAGGTTGACAAATGAGCAAGTTGTATAGTTCAGTGGTTAGCAGCAGGTCCATCCTGCTACAGCCAGCAGCCAGTTTCCTCTGATTCGTCTCTGTTCTGCTGCCGTATAGTTTCCTGCTCCTTCATGCTTCTTCAGTCCACAGTGGGATTGACTGACATTGAGCATACGAGCTGGTATAATGATCACGTTATGCGACACGTGAATCCAGAAATAGGGGTTAGCCTTATTACTGGGAAATTACAAACCCCACCCCCCCACCCTCTTACACATCCTGTACACCTCTGTAACGCTGCCACCCTCTTTGTCTCATTTATTCAGATCGACAAGATTATGAGCTCTATTGGGGCAGGAATTAGCAGCGGATTGGACATCAAGGAGGATAACTCAGGTAAACCACCTACAAGTATGTATGAGTGTGCTTCAGTCTGGTGTGTGTCTTAGAGGGAGAGAGAGAGAGAGAGAGAGAGAGAGAGAGAACAAGTTCTGCTTTAAGGATAAATCCTGTTTGTTACAAATTTTGCAGCTTAATTTCATGGTTTAGCTTTCATTTCTACAGGTTTTAATTGAGATTTACCTAAAATACAGCATACAAAAATGCTTATAGGCAAATGTTCAGTAAAATTAGACAGTTTTTCCCCCCCATTCTCATGTCATATTAAACTGACATGATGTTGATTCTGTCTGTGAGTTACTGTAAGAAGCAAAGCCCCAAATAAGCTCAGGTAATATTTATTTGAGAAAAATATGCATACATTGAAATTACTTGACCCGTTTCAACATGTAAAGGTCTGGTCATACTTAACAAAACCAAAGATGTTGGATCTTGCTGAGGTGATTGTGAGACGATATTTTTTACATTTATGCTGAAAGAGAAACTGCGGGGGAGAAGTCAGGTTAAGCTCAAACAGGAACACCACAGTTCACTCTGTCCTGGTCAGTACAGCCACGGAGATCCTCCTGTGTCTCTGCATGGTCTCCTCCATATGCAGAAACTGTCCCATATCCTTCCACAACTTCCTAACTATCATCCCTTTTTCTGGATCAATAGATCATTTTGTAGTTRTGAGTATTAGCRGYGCCTAACTCTTCCAGGTCACAGGTCAACTGGTAAAATGCTATGAAAACGTCATTGGAATTGTGCAAATTCAACATGCTCAAAAAGCTGATTTCTAGCAGAGATATTTATGCAAAATCTCATCCATGATCGTAATAAAAAGTTTAACAAATCAGTTCAGTGCAAATCGTGTCTTTATAACGTGTGAATTCACTGGTTGAATTTGTTCATTTTCAATGGCTTTTCCATAGCAACCTCAGCGTTTTCCCGACAAACTACAAAATGGTCTATTGTCAGGATAGCTGTATTTTCTAACAGGCTCGTCCAGCAGAAATGAGATTATTGTACTTCAGCTACTTTTCAAAAACATGCCCACAAAGTTCTGACCAGTCTTCTTGTGGAAAGTAGTTCTGTGGAGGGATTGTGCACAAGATGGGGCATGAGAAAGAAATTACACAATTTGTGTCACGCGACCATGTCAGCAAGACGGTTTCTCACATGATGGATTATAAACCAGGCTTAAAACATTGCTGTCTTAAAAAGCAATAAAACTTCCCAACACAAGGAAGCTGGAGCAGGTCATTGCACTGCACATCAAAGACAATATGGAGAATAAATATGGATTCAGAGTTTAAAATTGCTGAAATTTTCCCAACGAGACGACTACCAACATGATCAGAGTTTTACTCTGAGTGAGAAATAGTCCTACCTTCCTCACRTGCTGTTTCAGATGGGTTAAACCCTAGGAGTTATTTGCAAATAACCTTTTCAGGATAGTTTTGACTCTAAATTAGATGAAACCAGGAAGCTGGATGAATTAAAGTRATTTACCAACATAAATTGCCGGCTAAAGAGTTTAATAGTATCAAGTGAAGGATTTTCCACTTGCAGCATTTTTGAGCAAATGAGGAATAAATTTCCTGGTAAATTAAATTTACTTCCTCTCTTAAATACTGAGATTCAAGGAGTTGGCACTTTGCTTCTTCCTTATGCATGATCACCAATCTTATGAACCAACTGCAACATGCACATCATTTTTAATTTAAACTTTAATAAACTAGTAAAAACTCTTCTTACAATGGGYGCAGGTTAGTTGGTTAAAATATAGAAATCATCATATTAATACTCTCCCTGCTTAAGAATAGCAGTGATTGCTTTCTTGACAACATCACAGATCAAAATGATGGTTAAACCTTTAAAATAAGATGTTTGATTTGCAGGTTGGGATGTAAGACCCCGGTTGATGTTTGCGTTTAAATTTGAATGATTCTGTGGACCTGAAACACCTGTTTTTCATGGTTTTCTAACCTGCACACCTTTAGTCCTCCTCCAGTCATCTGTGTTTGCTGCATTCACCCCCTCTCTCCATATTACCTCCTACATCCCTCCACCTCCTGATCCACTCCTTGTTTTTTTTTCCATCATCACTAAAAAGCAGCGTCTAACCATGGTTACCATGGTCAGAAATCTAGTTTGTGCCAAAGCAGCTAAATGCTGCCACTAGCACATTCATATTACACCACACATGTAGGTTTGCATGCAAACAGTTAGGATGGTGTGTGTGAATGTATGTGAGTGGGAGGGAGCCTGGCTAGAAGACAAAGAGGCTGGAACTGTTGTGATGGCTATTATCAGCCAAGCGAGCCAGATATATGTAGAGYGGCATAGACAGCAGGGTGTCGATCGCGACTGAGGAAAGATAGAGATGAAGGGAGACAGAGGGAAGTTAGTGAGAGGGAGTGTGAAGGAGTGAGGCAGCGCTCTGGGAGAAGACGGGGAGAGAGAGAGAGAGGGAGAGAGGAGGCTGCAGGAGCATACAGATGAGTGGGAGTACTTGATAAAGAGAAATCTACAACGCAGCAGCTCTCTCTCCCTCACACACACTCAGATGCACAAGCTCAGGGGAGCAACCGAGCAAGCGCAACAGCTGAAAAGAAAGCGGCTGCTGCGCCGTGCGCGACAAACACGGTCGCTTTTGCTTGCGGATCCGTACTCCCAGTCTCACCCAGCAGCCGTCTCAGGCAGGATTTAACCCAGAGGACAGGAGCTCTTTTTCTGGATACAACTTCACTTTCACCCCCTACTCCTCCTTTGTTTTATTTCTCCTCCTGGTTGGATTCAGAGAGCGCAGCATCTGGACAGCTACACTCTACCTGCTTGCACCCTTTGCATGCTGACCCCCTCTATCCCCACCATGCCCCTCGCCTAGCCTTCTCCCACCCTTTCCCCTCCTCTACCTGCCTTCCCTTCATTCCCCTGCCTTGCCAAAAGACTCCTCAAAAGCATGGCAGGCTCCTTCGACAGCCACTTTGCCCGCCATAACATGATGTGGCAGTGCCAGCTCTCGCAGCCGGACTGCCGCTGCTACCGCGTGGACGGCTACTCCCTACTAAAGCGTTTACCCCTCCACCCCCTCATAGGTCCCCGCTGCCCACTGCAGTCTGTTGGCCAGTGGCTTGACTCTATTGGACTGGTCCAGTATGAGAACCACCTGCTCGCTAATGGATTTGACAATGTCCAGTTCATGGTAAGTGTTTTTTTTAATAACTGGGTGTGGGATATCATGAGTTGAGGTTTCATATAGGTAATCCACCTGTTTTATGTTTTTTTTTCTTTTTTTAATCATTTTATTTTCAAGTAATAGTTTAAATATTTTTAAAGACATTTTTACAATTTATTTGGGGTCATTTTCTCTAATTCTTTCATTTGTATCAATGCTGCCTCTCCCTGCTGAAGCCATGTGAAGTCCCTCCTACGCACAGAAATCCTACATCATAAACCCACCACAGTAAAAACAATCTAGCTTCAGCATCAAACTGCAAACAAATACACTGAATTTACAAAGACTGATGAAAGCTTTGCTGTTTTTATACAAAACAGTTCACTTTGACTGTGCTTAGAGCCACTTGTAGCTCATGGACCTGATCCTCTCCTCCGTTTGATCTGATGGTCCCCTCCGGTGACGTAAGAAGAGAAACTCTCTGGGTCATTTTACTTTTGGAAACTCATGACGTGCATCATTGAGGGTGATTTACACCGAGCGGTGAACCATAAACTAGAAAATGAGGTGAAATGGGGAGGGCAGAGGAGATGCAATGAAGTTAAATTGAGAGAAACTGCAGCAGAGGCAGAAGGACACCGAGCAGAGGGATGCTGACTGCAGGAGTTTCTCTGGAGATTCACCGTTAAGATGAATCTAAATGTTTCGCCCTTAAGTTCACTGTGCTTTAACCCAATAATATGACTGTAAAATCCAGATCAACTGCCACTTTCCATTTCACTGACCAAAATACAGATTGCAGCTATGCTGTTTTTAATGACGTCGAAGTTGCACTGTACGCAGGGAACCATGTTTTGGGAAGCATATGTGTGTGTTCTGGTCCATCAATCAGTGTGACCTGCATCTGTTCCTTTAGTTACCCTGGCAACGGGATAAAAATCCCAGAATCTGTTTCTTTGTGTTTCTCACTCACTGTTCATCTGTTTTAGCTACAAATAATTTGCTCAAGCGGTTTCATGAGTTTGTGTTTGGAACCAAGAGGACACTTGCTGCTCGTCTTCTCCTGTYATTAGCTTGTGAATATTTCAGTATGACCCAAACTGACACTGATWTAAACTGCAGTAGTCAGACTTTGACTGTTTTCTCCTTTTTTTTCCCAGTATGTGTCACTTCAAGTCAGTAAAGTCTGTCTTGCTTTAGGTTTTTATTAAAAGCATTAAGTAGTACAGTATAAAATGAGTTCAGTGCCTTTTCACTCGTCATACTGTTATATCTTCATAAGATGTAGCTTTTAATTTTACTTAAAGTAGCTAATAATCATAAGTTTGTGGGTGTGTGCAGGGGGTGTGGCTAAATTTCTCTCAGAATATCTGTTTGTCAACATGTTTTGGTTTTCAAAGTTTCTGGTCAAAACCCAAAACTTACCAAAACCGGTAAATACCAAGGAATCTCTGAACTGTTTTAGAAAAGAGTAAATCTGTGAACAAACAGGAAATTTACCACAGTGCAAGTCTTCTATTAGGATTGTACAAAACTTTACAAACATCTCAAAAGGAAAGTTTTCACTTGTTACCATGATTTATAGAATATAATAGAATAGAATAGATACAGCCTTTATTGTCCCACGGGGGGAAATTCAGGTGTAGTAGCAGCAGCATGTACATACATCACTCCACAAAACAGTATGTTACCATGTGACAATATCAATAGTAGCAAAAATAATAGAATTAAAGATTAAAGATTGTAACAATCAAAATAAACATAGATCAAAGTCAAAATAAGAGAAATAACTACAGTACCGGTAGTACCGGTCCATCAAGGAAAAATTTGATAAAAATTAAAGTAAAAAGCAAGCTACTGTGCAGAAAGATACATAATTACAGGAAATAACAGTCATGACTTACTTGTGCAAAATGAGTCAAACTCTTATTAGCCCATGCTGCACATTGTAGTCTTTTAGAAGAACAAAGGCTAAAGCAAAACACATTATGTT